TATTATTATTATTATTATTATTATTATTGTTTTAATATTATACGACAGATGCTTATAAATGGCGGCGAAATTTTTTGTCAAGTTTGCGTCTATAATTTTAAATTTTATTTTTTGTTAATCAATTAATAATCATAACTGACGAGATTATAGTAAAACGTCGTAGCAATGTTTATTGTCATATCGTTTCACATTTTTGCAAAACAATTACAAGTTAATAATTCACAAAGTTTTTATTATATACTATTTTTTCTTTTTTTTTTCCCTTTTTCTTTTTCCTTAAGACTAAATATTGCAACAGACGACTTAACAGTATACTCGTCAATCGTGGTTAATTGATTAATAAGTCAATGATTCTCTTATTCTTTACGCTTATTAAAACGCGATCGTAGTTAGAAATAATTGGGGTGCAATAAACGCATCGACGATATATATTCCATAAGTGATAAATTATTATTATTATTATTGTTGTTGTTATTAATTTTTTCTTTTCTTTTATTTTACATCATAACTATTATTTTTTTTCTTAATCTCGCCAAAAGAAAACAATACTAGAAAATAGAATTATTAAAAGAGGATAATAAGAACCGAACATGGTTTCTTTTTTTTTTTTTTTTTATTTTTAAACTTATTAAGTTGTTTTTTTTTAAGATTATGATTCGTTGAAAATGTTTATAACAATAATAATAATGATCGTTATTATTATTATTATTATTATTATTATTATCATCATCATCATCAAATCATTTCAAGAAGAAATGGTAAAAAAGAAAAGAAAGGAAAATGGCGTCGATGCAGGCATTCGTCTAACCTTAAAAAAAATACAATTGTATTAAATAATAAGAATAATGATCATTATTATTAGTATTATTATTATTACTGTAATTCTAATAATAGTCGAATAATAATAATTATTATTATTATTATTATTATTATCATCATCATCTCCATCATTTTGTAAGAGGATACAAAAAAGAGATCTATCAAATGTAAGAAAAAAATGGCGACGATGCAGGCATTCGTTTACGTTTAAAAAGAACTTTTGCGTGGTATTTAAGAAGAATTCGCGCGTAAAAAAAAAAAAAAAAGAAAGAAAAATCGTGTCACAATAATAATAATGATCTTTATTACTATTATTATTATTATTATTATTATTATTATTAACAAAATAATAAGTAACACACGATGTGGCACGATGGTAAAAATGCAAAAAAAAAAAAGAATGAATATTGAAAAAAAAAAAGAGAAAAAAGAAAAAAAAAAAAGAAAGAGAAGAAATCCACATAAGTTAAAAAGTAAAGGAGGGGGCAACGGAAAGAGGGGGGGTGGGGTGGGGAAAGAAGGGGGTTAAAGTGAAAATACAAAAAAACCGCGCGCGACCGTATTTCGAAGTTAAAGAAACAAAAAATGAAGGGGGAAAAAGATTAAAATAAAAAAAAATAACCAAAACAAAAGAAAAAAAAAAATAATATAACTGACACACAAGTATACAACGTGCGGTATACGCGACGAGTGCAAAACGGGAAAATTAAATTAAACGAATATAATTAATTAATTAATTAATTAAATAAATAAAATCACGGAGGCAAACCCATACTGAGAGAGAGAGAGAGAAAAACAAAAAGAAAGAAAGAAATGAAAATATAAAACAATATACAAAGAACACATTTTTTTTTCTTATAGAAAGATTTAAAATAATAATAATAATAATAATAATAATAATAATAATAATAATAATAATAATAATGAAAAATCGAACGACGACAATGAAAGTGGTATTGTGATG